TCTAGGTTTTTATTAAGGAGTAGTAAATTATTTTGGTATAGCATCAAATCTTGTATCTTTATCATTCTGTAATTGATCACCATAATCTTTAAGAAATGGTGTATCTGATTATACACTAATCTGACTATATTTATCATAATGCATATGATGATATCCAATGTCAAGTATAGTTTTATCATGATCTAAGATACCTTCATTGTATGCTGTTTTTAAAGTTTATTCAAGTAATTTAATAATATCATCTTGAATTTATGGAAATTATATAGTATATTTAATAGCAATTTCGACTTCTTTAATGATATCTTAATGTTAAATTTATGTATTTTCAAGTGATTGTGCATTTGAATTGGCAGCTGAAGCTTATGCAGATTATGGTATAGATTTCAATTGGATAGTTGATGCTAAAGAATCAGGATTATTAAATTTTGCAGTATATTTTTATAAAGGAGATCTCAAGGATTTATCATAAGTCATAGCTGGAGAAGCAAATCTTTTAGCATTCCAAAAATAATGATTTACATCAGCTACATTTTTTGTAAAAGTCAAATCTACCATTTATATATTATCACAAGATTTATCATTCTTTTTACATAATTATACATTGGTTATCAATAAAATAATTATGTTATCACCATCTGTTTTATAATCAATTGATAATAATTTCTTACATAAATTGATCATAATTAATAACATTCTTTCATTTTCATTTTCATATTCATCTTAACAATATAATTTCATTTATTTTGTTGAACATGGATAACTTATAGATATTTCTAAATCATATTCAGATTTATCCAAATAAACTTAAGCTATTCTAACATTTATTGTTAATAAATCTGATTTCTATTCAACTAATAATGCACTCATTAAATATGCATATAAACTATATAGAATACCATGTTTATTTCCAACAAGTTTTTCAGGAATACCTTCTTCAAATTCAAGTTGAATTATATTAAAATGCTCTTATAATCGATTAACCATTGATTCAATTACATTCACTACATAGTTCTTCACTAAATCAATTAATTTACTTACAAAAAAACTCATCATTTTATACTGGCTGGTATTTAATTTATTAAGAATCATGATTTAAAAGTGTCATGGTATCAATTTACTATTTTAATAGTCTACAATCTGTAGTACATTATCCTAATATACTTAAATCACTCTCTTTAACTACTTTAAATGCTCTTAAATTATTCCATTTTTAATAATCTTAACATAATAAATTGTATAATTAATCTATTTATTAAGATAATTTTGTAAAAAGTTCTACATCACCACAACTAAACTAAGATTATTTTAATATAAAATCAGAATTATATTATTCCAATGTATAATATTTACTATTAATTATTATTTAATTCAATTTCTTTTTTCTTATAGTATTTTCCAATTTACTTTACAATTCATTATCAAATTATTTGACATTATTATTACTATATATAATATTAGCTTCACTATTTATCATAAATATATCTATAGGTAATTTCTCTAAAACAATCTCCTTTTAATGTTATACATAATCTTAAATATAAAATGATATAAAAAATCTTCTCTTTATAATTTCAAGATATCTAGAAAACATTACTAATCCAAATCCTAAATATAATCCATTCATTGATCTAACCAATACCATCAAAAATGGAATTTAGTTTGGCCAATAAGGTATGAATATTTAGTTAATAAAAAATGAACTTATTAATGCATGATTCTAATTTTAAAAAAGTAGCTCTGGAAATAATAATAAAACCTATAATTATTTTTGATTATAATACTCTTAAGAAATAAATTAATTTATTATGATTTTTTAAAATAGCTTTTAAAATCAATGTTATCAGAATTGTTCCAATATTTATTATACTCCTATCAAATACTATTGATAGTACTATAAATGGATACAAACATAATCCACTAAATTTTGATCTTTGATATGCTGTTTCAGTCTTTATTTAAACAAAACTTGCCAACAAAGAAATTTCATCAATCATCTTATGAATTTAATTTATTTATGTAAATTAATATATATATATATATTATATTTATTTTATTGATCATTCTTTTAATATCTTATCCTTCTTATTATTAGTATATACTACTTCTAACAAATTTAGTATTTATAATTAAATATTTTTATATTATGACATCAAAGTTGCCAGAATTAATAAATTTAAATGATTCAGTTGCTTCTTTAACGGATTTCCTTAAAAAAATACCAGAAGAAGTAAATACTTCATTTGATTATAAAATACCTAATGGTATTATTTTAGATGAAATTATTACTTAACTTATTAAAAATCCTAAGAAATAAGAAGATCATAAAATAATATTCAATGATTCTGGATATCAGAATATATAAACAATTTAATCAATTTTAGGCATTGAATTTAAAATTACAAAAGACATTGATGAATTACTAAATGAATAAACATAAATCTATTTGAATTAATTTTTATCTACTTTACCATAAGAGAAAGAATCTTAAAGTAATAGTATTGCTACTGTATAAATAAATGAATTGGAAAATGCAAAATTATTACATTAAAAGGATATTATTTAATTAACTGGAATGTAATCTAAATTGCATAAACAAGATGTTCGATAAGAATTGATTGAATAACTATTAGAATCTAAGAAATTTAATATTAGAATAACATAATAATCAATTAATTTATTTAATGATTAGTTGATGTTTAGAAATTTGTTTTAATAATTTAAACAATAATTTGAAGAATTAATTTATTGTGTTTTAAAATTAGAAACTACTCTTACATTTAGAACATAAAAATTATAATTAGAATTATAAATGAGTTAGAATGAAAGAGAAAAATTATAAATTAAAGAAATAGATAAATTAAAATCAATTATTAAAGAGAAAGATGAATAATTAATAGATATAACAAATAAAATATAATTTAATGTAACTCACTATCAAAAATTAGAAGAATAAATTTAAATTGCTAAATAAAGTATCTAAAAATAAATAATGTCTATTAAATAAACAAAATAAGAAAAAGAAGATAAATAAAAAACAAGTTCTCCATCTGTTATGAGTGCTTCTAAATCTAATATTTCAGATTTAGAAATCTTAAAATAATAAACTAGGAAAGTTAGTAATTCTTATGCACATAGAAATAGATTTAAAACTGTATTTTTTAAAAGATGATATATACAAAATTTATTTATAAGTTATAATCTAATTAAGTAATAGGTTTTTCATTATCTATTAATTAATAACACTATCTCTTGAATTATAATTTATAATGAAAAATAAAAAGATTTTTAATTTGTATATGATGACATTACAAAATATTAATAATGTTTATCATGAAGTCATTCATATTTTTACTTGTATCTGTAACATTTTCTTTTGAAATTGATGACGGCAAGGTCAAAGGATCAATCATTTATAATAGAACTGGTAATACAACTGGTTGGAACTTTCTTTAAATAAGTTTAGAGAGTATTGAAAATGATGAAGATGTTTTTGCTGCAGCTGGAAGATTTGAAGGAGAAGAATCCAGAGAAGAAATTTATAATGCTTATAGGAATTATGTCTATGGACTATAAGGTGGAAGACATTTTTTACCAAAATCACTTTAGAAATATGTGCATAATTAATATAATTGGTTAAAAGAATAAAGTTAAACTTAAAATACACCTTATTGGAGGATGGTTAAATATCTTTTGATTTAGTTAGAAAATATGTATGAAGGATATAATTATCATTATGGTAAAACAGAAAAAGCTTTGTCTTTTGATTAGTTCTATTTTCTTAGTAATATGGGAGATCTTTAAGATTTGTGGCCAAGTGTTGGAGAAGTACAAACTCATGGAATTGGAAATTGCAATTCATTTTATAAACCAGGTATAATGGCACATACTACTTTTAACGTTTATATAACTATGCTTCGAATCTATAAAAGCTATAATTTTAAATTAAAAGATAAAGATATAGTCAATCAACATATATCTTTTACAGCAAGACCAGGTGATTTAGAATCTAAAGATGATTTTTTTGTTCTTTGGGATACTTAAATGGTTGTAACAGAAACATCATTTAATAATTATAATAAAGAAAATTATGAATATTTTCATTATGATTCAGTTCCTTGTTGGATCAGAGTTAATATAGCAAGTAGATTAGCAAAGAATCCAAAAGAATGGATGGATATTTTTGGATTACATAGAAGTGGAACTCACAATAATTAATGGGTTGTTACAGATTATAATAAAGTTTATATGGGAGAAGAGGCTTTTTTTATTTATAAAGTGCATGATCTAACAAATACATTATTAGATAGCTAGGGATATGTTGCATCATATAATGTACCTTTAGATTAAGAAATCTTTGATTCTTTAAGTAAAATTATATTGTATTTTAGAATATCCAAATACTACTTCATATAATGATGATGTAAGAGCTAAATAGTTTAGAATGTATTAAGGAAATTTAAGAACTGCTAGAGAGATTGGAAGATTACTAAGATATAATAAAGTAACAGATGATTTTGATATTTGTGATGGAGCTATATGTCCAAGATGTGATTTAGTAAATGAAAATGAATATCCATTTGGAGGGATTGATGGAAAAGTTATAAGTTAGGATATGATTAAAGTTAAAAAGGTTCATTTGATATCTAGTCCATCTTATTAAGAACATCAAATGTTCAATTGGAAGTACTTTCCTAATATACCTCATTATGGTATGACTGATAAATGGTCATTCTCATGGTATGAGCTTGATGAAACTAATTTTACAATAAAAGAGTTATATTAAGATTATTGAAATTATAAATTTCGACATATATTTGATTTAAATGTAATACTTATATAATGATGATCTTCATTTTTTATAATCTATTATATTTCATTTATTTTTAAATTTATATATTATAATTATAAGGAAATGGAAAAAAAAATTGTTAATATTTAAAAAGTTTAAGAGTAATGAAAGAATAATTGTTTATTATGTGTATTTTTAGATAATAATTGATGTCATGTCAATATAATCATGCTACTTGTAATGAAGCAAAATATTACAACTACGTAAATAACGACTAGTACATATCCTATTCGACACTCTTCGAAATCATGATATGTTAATGCCCAGACTGCAAATAATTAAACAACATAAAATAGACCAATCATAAATTAATCAATTCTTCTATTACATTTATAGAGTATTCCATTCATCAAAAAAATAAATCCAATTGGAAATAATATTTCAGCCATGCATTATTGAAAAAATAAAACACTAAATATTGACAATCCTACAATCAAATCAAATAAGCTAAATTTTTAGGGTTTTTCAATTGCTTGCACACTTGATACAGGTTATTCACCATCATCACTTTGTGAATTTATCATTTATTATAATATTTATTCTAAATATTCAACATTATCATGTAATTGTAATATTTACAAATAGTTTCTTGTATACAAGCATGTTTAATTAAATTATATAAAAAATTAAGAGTGATTGATTTTCAATTCATTCTAAAATTTATGTTAATATTAATTCTAATATAATATTAATATGAATATTTGAATCAAAACACTAAGAAATATAAACAATCTATTGTTATCAACAAACCTTTGAACTGAACTGAAAAAATAATAAATTTAAGTTTAAAGTTTTTTAAACGATTTATATTATTCAATTCGTTATAATGAAATGACATATCAGATAAAGAATTTATTTTACTTAGGAATAGCTTTGAAAACTTTAGGGAGTTTGAATACTTACGAATTTTATTTTGGTTCTGGACTATAAAATGTAAAAAGTTGTTTATCTTCTTTTTGTCGCAAATCTGAAATATTTTGTGGTTTTTAGTTATTGAAAAAATATTTCTTATTCTCAATACTATACATATTATTAAGAGTTTAGACTCTTTAGGTTCTTAAAACTACATTCTTATCTATTTTAGTATATAATCTGCCAATTTACAAATCCTATTCAGAACATTGCTCTAATAACTTTAAATTTTCTTCGAGTAATTATTTGATTCTTCTTTACTTTTCTTTATTAATGTTCATAATCATTGCTATCAATAGAATCATATATTACATTAAGATGATTGACTAGATTCAAGGAAATGTTGAGAATGCTTTGGAGATATATGTTTCTTAGGAGTAGGTTCTGTTGATTCTATTGTTTAAATGCTCATTCCCTTTTTCTTAAAAATATTTAACTAGGCTTTTGGTAATATATCCATATTTTATATAGTCTGAAAATGAGGATTAGTGTTAAAATCTTGATTTTATTATAACAAAACACAAATATTGCAAAGAATTATCATTAATAAACAAGCTTGTAATACAAATTAGTATCTTAGTTAAATAAAATTCTATGTTTATAACTAATCCATTATTCAAATAGCTTAAATCAGATTAAATAATATTGTCTTTATTTTTAATAACCATTTAAGTTTATGTATAAAAACATTTTAATTATTTTATATGAGTTTATATGTCATATTCTTAAGAAAATTAATGAGTTATTGTTTCAAATATTCATTATTCTTAATCATTTATTAGTAACCATATTATTACACACTTTATATTAATTAAAAATAATCATCAGTTCTTTAGATGTTTTAATTTGGAATGTCCATAATATTATTGTAATCTCACTTAAATTAACATAATTAATGTTTTTAGTTATGAAACAAAACAAAACTAAAAGAGAAAAAAAATAATTAGTAATTTAATATCCTAGGGCAAATTTAGGATATAATATACTGATTATGATACATACTTTATATATTAGAGTTTGATTGAAAAGATATTAAGAAAATTGATAATACATAAACGAATGTTTGAATTCTTATTAAACTCATATAGCTATATTGATTAATAGTGTAATTTTAATATATATGTGAATTTAGCAAATAATGAAACTAATAATTTTATATTTATACTTAATAATAATTTCAATAATCATGTTTGAACAATTCTATACCTATTAAAGTTATTAACATGGTATATATCATGTAATATGGATTTTAAATGTTTTAACTTTCTTCAATGGTTTATCCCTAAATATCACCATATAGATTGACACTCAAAACTTATGATGTTTCTTATTATTATTAATCATCTAAATTATTTATTTAAAAATATACATGAATTATAGATGAAAGCATTTTTCAAAACTGTTCCAGTTAGTATTGATTGGAACATCATGATAGCATTTATGAATAAATTAGAAATAGCCAATGAGATAGATGCTCCATGACCAAAAATTATTCCAGTAAACAAAACAGCTATAGTACACTATTTATTTAAAAAATAGATACTGATAATAGATTGACAAGTACATAATAATTTCCTTGTCTGTTTTTTAATGGAAAATAAGTATATGAAAAATTTTCAAGTGCTATTTCTTCATCTGGTTTATTTTTTCTCAATTAAAAGGATTTTTCATCATAAAGCTAACATTTAATGATTTAATTTTACAGCTTCCTCACAAATTGTTTTTACTATAAAAATAGTAAGTCCTTTATTGTAATAGGCTAATCCAAATCCAATTAAAAAACCAAAGAGATTATAGCCATTTAGTAACAAAATAAAAGTCTTACTAAAAAATATAGCAGTTCCAATAATTAATATAGCTGCAATAATAAGAGCTCCTGCATTTGTAATTTTTAACCAAACAATATAATTTTTAGCAGCCCAAGTTATGGAATGCAATCGATCTTTAATATTATTAGCAAATTAGGCTAAAAATGATAATTTGAGTCCATCACCTGATAGTGTACCTAACATTGATATTCCCATTAAAATATAAATATTTAATATATATCCCAAAAATAATCCAAGAATTCCAACTAAAGATGCAAGTTTATAAGAAATAAATAAAGATAAAGCAATTAAAAGGGCAGGTACAATTTAACCAATATTTCCTATAGAATATGCTTATATAATATTAAGAGTAGGAGCTTTGTATGAAATGAGTGCTACCTTTTATGCTACTGAATAACCATGACTTGTTAGATATTCATAATAAATGATTAAAATTGCAGAAACAACAATTCCAATAAAACCACATCCCATAAAATCTCTATTAAATACTTTTTCTCTATAAATTTATGAATGATCTTTATCTCCAAATTCAAATTCTTTAGGTATTGATAATAAAGAAAAGATAACAAAACATAAACTTAAAAATATTGACATCAAGATCTAACATCTTACATTATTAGCAGTGAATGCAACTGCATCATCATTTTTAAGGATATGACTTAAAAATGATATTAATAATTAACCAATCCAACTAAGAATAAATACTAATTGAATTCCAAATATTTTGCCAATAAAATTATCTGAATAATGATAATCAACTGAATTTACTAATACAATTGATGGCATTGATACAAATAATGATAATACTAACATTGAATCAAAGAAATTAACTTCTCCTATTAAAGAAGACATTCCTGCTGCAATTTTAGTTGTATAAGATAAATTATTTCCAATATCACCAAAATATTATTCTTTTTTAATCATTAAATCACAAGCTGCTTGAATTCCTCTACCTGTAACTGACATACCTTCTCTAAAATATATTCCAGAAATCAACATTCCTAATGGAAAACCACTTACCATAATAGCATAATTTTCAGGTTTTGTTGATTAAACTGACATTGCCTTCATTATCAATACTATAAATAAGGAATTCAAGGTTATGATTCCACCTATAAATAATGCTGAAAAAAATCCATTTCCATAAATCCATTTTAAAACATCTTCCTAAATATAAAATTGATTCTCACCTTTCCAATATTAGCTTTAATAGGAATTTTTAGTAATGTACCTATTTTAACTGCAATAATCATATAGGCTATAATACATGTTATTATTGTGCCCCACAAAAAACTTATAAAGAAACCCCAAAACGTTCCCGAGGGTGTTAACCAAGACTAAACTAGTTGTGCTATATATATACGGCTATAATCAATAAGAAGCCTGCTGATGTTATTATTGTTATAATTAGCTAATTCAGGTACAACTCTTTAAAACTGATTTCTATAGTTTATAAATATGTTGCCATATAAGCAGGTAATTCTTATTTCCAATTTTATTCATCTATTTCTTATTCATCATATAAATTTCCATAATCTATAATCAAATTCTAATAATCTTCCTCTTATTTTATTGAAAAGTTCTATATAACTATTCAATAATGTTTACTGTTCCTAAAAACCCGAATAGAAATAAAGCAATGGCTAAAACACAAAATATTGATACTATTAAGTATACCGATAAATCTGTGAACATATAAATTATATTTATAATACAATAAAAACGTAAATTTTATTAATTAGTTTCAATTACTTATTAGATAACCAAAATAATTTTGCATACTAAATTTGCTAATACTATCAAATAGCCATTTTTAATTGACTATCATAGGAATACACTGGATACATGTATAATTCATTTGAGGATCTTAAACTATTTTAATTATAATAGTATTTTAAGTCTTCTCTTTTAAACTTACAATGTTACCACCACAAAGTTCAATTAAAGTTTCAATATAATCTTGATTAATGATTGTTTTATTAATATTTCCTACTTCAATACTAAATTCATAATCTCTTAGGAAATCATACATTCCACCACGAGTTCTTGATATTTTAGGAGTAAGTGTAGGAAATTCATCACCTTTAATTTCGAAATCTTCCTCATTTAATATAGTATCACATTTAAGACTTTCAATTACCCAATCTATATTAATAATCCAAATCCCTCTAACCAATGCTTCCAAATATTTTAAAGTTCTTCTTGCTATGAATGGTTTATTTGGATTATCAGGTCCTGAAATAAGATGTGTAATCTTAGAATTAATGTTTGAATTTGATTTTATTTTGAATTGTTTTTAAAATCTTTCAAGACATTCCTTAATTTACTAATTTTGGTACCTTATATTCATCAGATAAATTCGAAGTACATATAAAAAAATTAGTGGATTTAGATTTTTTTCTACTCTAATCTACTTTTATTTTAGTATTATCTTGATCCATTACATTCAAGACTGCCTGAAGTGATATGTTAAGATTTATTTTGTTTAGATTGAAAGGCTATTTACAAAGCGGGCATTTCGTAGATTTAGTTGCTTTTCCATAATTTTGAATGCAATCGCGGCAAAAACTATGTCCACAAGGAATTACAAATGGAATACTAAATAAACTTAAGCTAATATAATATTTATCAATCCTTACCAAATTGAGCATTGTAGTTCATTTGCTAAATTTTCAATCAGCATAAAATATTATAATTGTGAATGAAGTTTATTAAAATAATATTTCATTTTCCCAATTTGATCGTTATAAAAGTTTCAATAAATTCCTATAAGATTCTTATAACAATATATAAACAAATAATGTTCTTTATAACTTATTTTTTTCTTTAAGGGAGAATAAAGAATTTTGAAAAGTACAAAAGAGTTATTTGAGAATTTACATTATTGATTATATATTTATTAAATAATTATAATAAATTCATGTTCAATGGATATCAATATGATAAGTAACTTACATTTACAAAAGAGATTGATAAAATAAAGAAGAATTATATTACAGAAAGATAAAATAGAAAAGGTATATAAATTTATATAATAAAATAGATATGAATTTAAGATTATCTAAGAATTATAAAAAAAGAGTTGAGAATTTTGTTATTAATATGTTAGAGAACCCTGTAGTTTGTAATGAATATAAACCACCTGAAAGTTATAAATTTAGAGATGAAGATCCAACAAAAAATTTGGGAGATCCTTAAATTTATGTTAAAGGTTTCAAACATGAGAAAGAGAGAATATTAGAAGCCTAAGAGAAAAATAAGGATTTAGATTTTTTACCAAATTTAAAAGTAGGAAAACATTCTTTTAGAGAAAGAGATCCATCTAAAGATATTAAAAGAGATATATTTAGATATAGAGATAAAACAGCTTTGGCAAGAATTGAATAATATCTAAAAGATCATACATAATCATAAGTAGAGAATATGAAAATTGATCATAAAAAAATAATAAGTTTAGAAAACTTTTCAGAAGGAATGTCACCTTTAGAAAGAAGAGCATATTTATCTAGATTGATTGCAAAGAATTTATTACCATCATTACATAATAAAACTCATTTCTAAGCAGCATAAACAATGTTCAATAATTTACCATGTATATACATATATATCTATACTTAAAGTAACATTGATGGAACATACAAGATCATAACCATTATTATAAACATAAGAGGAAAATAGAAAAAAACCATTGTAATCTTCTGAAAAATAAAGATTGATGTCTTAAGAGGCACCAGCAAGAATTGAAGATATTGGAAGTGAGAAGGATAAAAAATAAGGAAATGAAATGGAAACATTTAATCCTGTAGAAACATCTAAAATGATATTAAAAAAATGTAATGTTGTTAAAGATAAGAATCCTAAAGTAATTTTTATTATGAATATAAGGTACCTACATTACATTAAGGTTCTGGTCATTTAATATCTACAATGGATAAATCAATATAAGATGTTTATAGAGAATTATATCATGTAGATTTTAAGAAATATGATTGAACATAATAGATTAAGAATTACTATGATTGATTTTATTTTATTAAAATTAATTTATGAAAAATTGTGTAAGATAAGCATTCAGATCAAATTCAACATTAAGAGGAGCATGGTCATAAAATTATTTATAAAGACCAGGAGAAGGACAATTAAAAAATGTGACTGTGCTTCCAGGGGATGGAATAGGTCCTGAAATTACTAGTATCTATTTTTAATATCAAAAAAAGGAAGTGTTATGTAAGTTTTTGATGCATTACATGTACCTGTAAAATTTGATGTTTTGGACAATTTTAATTTTGATAATGATGAATAAAGAAATTTATTAAAAAAAAATGAATGCATTTTATTAGGAGTCATGACTGAAAAAAATTAAAAATATACAGATAATTACAGATTTTATAAATATTTAGATTTATATGCCAATATTACATTTGCATTTTCAGTTGAAGGTATCAAATAGAGACATAACAATACAGATATTGTTGTTATTAGAGAAAATACAGAAGGTATATTTAATAATATTAAATTAAATAGGAGAATATTCAGGAGTTGAACATGAAGTTTATCCTGGAGTAGTTGAATCAATTAAAGTTACAACTAAATAAGCATCTTTAAGAATTGCTGAATATGCATTTGAATTTGCTCATTTAAGTGGAAGAAAGAAAGTTACTGCAGTTCATAAAGCAAATATAATGAAATTGGTTGATGGATTATTTTTATCTGCTCATAGAGAAGTTGCTTAAAAATATCCTTTCATTAAATATGAAGAAATGATTATTGATAATTGTTGTATGTAATTGGTAAAGAATCCTACTTAATTTGATGTTATGGTTATGCCTAATTTATATGGATCAATTGTTTAAAATGTAGTGGCAGGAATTACAGGGGGAGTAGGAATGGCTGCAGGTGCATCAATAGGTAAGGATCATGCTCTCTTTTCACAAGGATGTAGACATACAGGTAGAGATATAGCAGGTATAAATATTTATAATTGAAAATAAGGAAAAAATATTGTAAATCCTTCGGCTTTGCTTGTGTCTTCTTCGTTATTATTAAGACACTTAGGATTACCTAATTTTGCTGATTAAATATGCAGTGCTGTTTAAGAAACTATATAAGAGAGAAAAGTAATTTTTATTCTTAATTATAGCTTAAAACTAAAGATATTGGTGGTAAAGCTAGTACTGAATAATTTACAAAAGAGGTTATCAAATGCTTAGGAAAATGATTATATTCATAATTATCATACGCATTATCAAATCCACATAATTTAATTAAAAAAAAATCTATGTCTTTATGTTATATTAATCAAAATTAAATAAATGGATATTATAATGAATTCAAATGTTAAAAAGATTGAAATAAGAAAAATAATGTCATGTGTAGATAAAATTAATAAGAATATAAAAAATTAAAGTTCATTTGATAATTAAATTAAAAATAATAATTATTAGACTAAAATATTATTAATTTGATACTATTTTTACAATAATAATTAATAAAATTAATAATTATATAATCAATTTATAAAGAAAGAAACAATCTCATAAAAATGAATCTTTATATAATCAATATTTAGATTTAAGAATAAATATATCATTATAATTCTTTTAATTAATTTCATTTAAAAAATAACTAGAATATCTAAGTTTTTTTTAAATATATATAGTATTAATGATTTAATTAGCATATTGATATTAAATGCAACTAAGTATATTCAATTTTTAAAATTACTTCACTCAAATTTTTTAAATTATAAGTAGATATTTCTTTATTTTATTAGGTTTTATTATTATATTTCTAATAATGATTTAGAAGTTATTTCTATTCTTATTTAATTTAATTCATTTTATTTTTGTTGAATTTCATCTTATCATTTTAAGTTTCCAATGACAAAGTTTAAGTGAAATAGATACAATTGTTTGATATATTAATTGCATTTTTAACATAAAATTAATTATAATAATGATTCATAACTTATTAATAATAGTATTTTTTGCCTTATGGACTGTCCTTTTTATCATTTTGATATTGATAGGTTATTTCTTAGAAAAAAAATATAAGTTAGCAGCTATCACTCCTGAGGTTAAACATTAAACACCATAAGATAGTGTGATTTTTCTTAATCATATGTTAATTTCTAACGTTTAGAAGCAGTCTTAGTAAAAGAATGATAGTTAATTGGTTGAGGAAATAATAAGTAACTAAAGAACATAATCATAATAAAAGATTTAAGAGTAGATTAGTAAGAATGAAGTTAAAATTGAATACACATCAATCTAAAAGGAAAAAGCTGTTAAAGTGTCTCCACTTAAGATTAATAGATAATAGAAATAGATACAAACATAAACAATATTCTCAAGAAAACCTATTATTGGAATTTTGGAAGGAATAGATACTCTATAATCAACAAATCGAAGAAGTGTACGATCAAGATAGTCAGCAAATAATAGTGAGAGAAATAGTATTTTTGGATAGAATTAATAGTAATAACACATCAATCAAGCAAAGATACATTCAAGTTCAAATTTTTAGACAAGTGGAAATTTACTTGTTCTTTAGAATGGTAAAATTCCCAAACCAACCAAGGACTATTATGTACTAAAATTTTGTTTTAATTAGAAATGTAATTCATTTGCTAAAATATTTTACACTCATAAAATTGGATTATCAAGAATTTTTATGCTCTCATAAATTTATTTTAGACAGATGCTATGTTTTGAAATTTGTGGAGCATTATTACTATTTGTTTAACAATTATAGTATTATTATATTATGGGATCTTCATGTGGAGGATATTTGGTTTTAAAAATATATGATTATTACATAATAAAGTCTATATGTAAGGATAAAAGAGGTTGCCTTGTTAGATTGATCAATTATATGATATGGGCAATTGAATTATCTATTTTAATTTTAGGAATTATGTATTATGAAGTTAACAATTTCATTTGTCTACAATATTATGCACCTAGTTTAGTCATGGAATTATTTATTGTAGATCCTATGAGATATTTTTTAATTAAAAATTGTTAAGCAAAACCAAGAATCATAATAAATAGGAAATCATAGATTATTAAATGAATTAGATTAAATTTTATATTAATTATTAAAATTTTGATGTCTCATAAATTAAATAGCATAAGTACAAAAGTGTCTAGTTAAGATAATGTGAAAATTATTAGAATATAATCTAATAAAAATCGTAAATCTTATAATAATCTTATCAATAAAAATAAAATTGATCCTGAAATATTGAATAATTAGAATAATCAATTAAAATCTTAAATCAACTCATTGTCTGATGAAGTCTAAGTTTAGAAATTAAAATATCAATAACTTTAAGTATTGATTGGTTTAAGAATAGAGAGACTCTACCCAAAATATTATGTTTGATAATAGCAAAACATTTTTAATTACTCTAAGACAATAATTGAAAAAATCAGAATTAGATTTAAGTGATAAAATTAAATAGATAGAAGAATACAAGAAAATGATTAATATTACTAAATATTATGAATTGCAAGTATAATTAATATATTATAATTATTAGATTGAATTATTTAATTATTAATAATAAGCCCTCCTTTATTAATAGGATATAAATGATTTAAAAGAGCAATTAAAAGAATATTAAAACTATAAAATAGAAGATTTATATTAAAAGTAAGAAAAGATAATTAAGAATATATCAAAAAAAAATCATGATCTTAAATTAGAAAATATAAATATGAAAACTGAGAGACATTTTTTAACAAGTTAAATTGAATCATTAAAAATTTAATTGATTATTAAAGATAAAGAAATTAAAAGATTAATCTCTTTTTAAAAGAAATTAGAGGACAACTAATTATATTAGAATGCAGTAACTAAATCAAGATAATAAATTTTTAGAGAATCTCTTGAAAATACTCAATTATAGGAATAATTAAAATATTTAGAATTTCGCTATTCTTCTGATATCAAAGATAAAGATTAAGAAATTAATGATTTAAAAATTTAATTATTAGAATTAGGGGGGGTTAAAATAATAATTATAAAAATTCCAATAAATTTCTTAGGAATAAAAAATAAATTTACTTGAAATTCAAAAAGTAGAATCAAGATAAGATTCAAATAGAAAATTAAAAATATCACTTAATAATTCAGGAATATCTTAATAATAATAAAATTATTCAGTATTAAGATAATCTAGTTAATAATATAAATAGAGTTTACAAATTGATTAATCAAAAAATACTGAATTTACTAAATAATATAATGAAATTGATGAAAGTGAAAAATAATTATAATAAAGCAATAAATAATTAAAAAAAATTATAAGAGTTAATTAATATGATGTTATAAATTTTGGTTTAGAAATTAAATTTAAATTATTAAGTAAATAAGTATCAATATAAGATGTTGAAATGTTATTTGAAAAGTATGAATAATAAATTAAAATTCATGAATTATTAGATTTGTTTTTATAAGAACCATTTAAAATTTAGAGTTATGAATAAAGAAAACTTAATGCAAGATATTTAGTTGAGGATAACAATTAAGATTATATTGTGTATGATGCTTTAAGAAGTAATGATAATAAAATTGTTATGAGTGTTTTCAAACAATTAATTGGGAAATATGAATTATTTACAAAAAAAGAAATTAATTCTATAGAAAATTAATTGAAACATATTTTTGAGAAATACTAATTTTAATTTAATGATGCTATTTAATAAATTATAATAAAAAAAAACATTTAAAACCTGGTTAATGTGAAAAAGCAGATTATGAATAGGCTATCAAATTTTCAGAAATAAATTTCACTCCTAGATAATTGGAATATATTTATTTTATTAATTATACATTTTTCCAGGATTTATCAATAATATACTATCAAAATGTGATAACGTATTTTAATAAATCTAAATGAATTCAATTATTTAAAAATAATAAATTTTATCTTTCTTTTAATATTAAAGTTTTATTAAATCTTATTTTTACGATATATTTATTTCTATTCCTTTTTTTCATAAATTAAATTAATTTAAAAATGAAATTTCAAGATTTTACAAAAATGAATTAGAAAAACATTTTATATGGAGGGTTTGCTTTAGTTCTTTCTAGTGGATTTAGTGCTTGGGCATTAGGTAAATTTATTGGTTATCTTAATCATAAAAAAATGGATAGGATTTGTAAAAGAAAAAGATAAGTTACAATTGAAGCTATAAATAATTATAAATTAAACCATCAACCATGTTAATTGAGTTAAGATATTTAAAACTAAATACTTAACGGTAGTGTTGCTTAAATAAAATAATTATTATTTGAAGGAAAAACGACTGTTTAATAATTAGTCTTAGTTTTTATTGAAAGAATACTTAAGGTGGCTTGTTCAGACAAACTTAATATTATAACAGAAATCAATTTTAATGAAGCATTAGAAGAAGCCAAGTAAGTTTGATTAATAATTTAGAAAATAAGATGAGGAAATATAAGAAGATAAAAATATAATAAATAAATATGCTTTATTTGGTATTCCTGTATCAGTAAAAGAAACATTTATTCAGAAAAACTTTGACTCTACTTTTGGATTAGGAGTAAATTGTTTTAAACCTGCTTAAGAAGATGGAATATAGGTTGCTTAAATTAGATAGGCTAAAGGTATAATTATAGCTAGGACAAATATTCCATAAGTGGCTATGACATTTGAATCAGTAAATCATATTTATGGAACAACAAAGAATCCATGGAATCCACACAGATCTGTTGGAGGATCTTCAGGAGGAGAAGGAGCCTTAGCAGCTGCAAGAGGAAGTGTTTTGGGAATTGGATCAGACATAGGTGGCAGCATACGTATACCAGCAGCATTTTGTGGTGTATATGGATTCAAACCATATAGTGGTAGGATTCCAGATTATGGTGAGGCTAAGATTTCATTTGCATCTTTTGGACAAATGCAATTAAAAATATCAAGAGGACCTATTGCTAGATGTGTAGATGATTTAATTGTTTTAACAAAGGTTCTATTTGATAAAGAAATTTATTCTAAAATTCCTTATTAAATAAAGGATCCTTATTTTGAACCTTAAGAATTAGGTGAATTACCATAGAAGTAAAAATTAAGGGTTGGATATTTTGATATATTTAATGGATTAATTACACCTAATTGTATGAGTAGAGCAGTACATGAAGCTTGTTAAGCATTGTAACTTTAAGGACATGAAATAGTTGAATTTAAGGTAAATAAATAAATGTAAAGTATTATTGCTAATTGTTTTTTAAAAATAGTTGTTGCTGATGGAGGAATGAAATCTTATATTGAAGCTTTGAATGGCTAAAAATTTATAGAAGAGTATGATCTTTTAGTATAAGATTCAAATACATCTTTAGGAGTCAAAAGATTTATTTTAGGTCCATTATTTAAGTTATTAGGATAAAAGACTCTTTTGGAATATAACTATAATTCAAAAGTAGATGTATATTAATATTTGGTTGATTCAGCAATTAGAAAATAAACTAATTTATAATTTTGTTAAGCAGTTAATGAATAAGGAATAGATGTTATAATCTCTCCTGCTTTTGGATAACCTGCTGTGAAACATGGAGATTCTAAAGAATTGGCATTTGCTGCGTATATTAATGTTCTTATAATAGATTATATACTTGGATGTGGAATGTTTTAGATTTTCCTGCAGGTAGTTTACCTGTAACAATAGTTCAAAATGATTAAGATTTAGAAATTAAAGGTTAAGAAAATTCAATTGATCTTTTTTATAGATTTATGAAAAGCGATTTATAAGGAGCAATAGGTCTTCCAGTCAATGTTTAAGTATCAGCCTTACCTAATAAAGATGAAATGGTTTTAAGAGTAATGAAAGAAATTGAAGCTGTTGTGAAATTTAATTCCAAACATCCATATCCTGAATTAAACTGAAGGAAATGTTTAATTGAGAGTTATAAATATCCAAATACATAATATAATAATAATGATTTCTAATCTTACTAAAATATAAAGAATCATTTCTTCAACTTTTTATTAATTTATTTACTTTTGTTTTATATAATTTAAGAGTATTCATAACATTGTTGTAATAAACACATTATTTTATGCTTTTTACTCGTCATTTTTTTATTTTGTTGTGAATATTTTATTAAAATTGTATAATTTTTGATGAAACATTTAGTTATTACTCTTATCATAGATATTTATATATTAATATGAGATCTCAATAATTTTATTTGAGTAGGTTTATTATATTAAATTTGATAATTAAAATAATGAATTAGTAACAGAATCAACAACAAACTCCTAGGTTGAAATTTCTTCAGGAATTATAGAACAATTCATAATCTGATAATTGGTAAGAAGGATCTGGAGCAAAATATGGAAAATTATTGTTTTTGATATTTCAAATGATTTTCTATTGCATATTAGTTTATAGTTTTGCATTTGGAAATCCTAAAGAGCTTGGATAACCTTTTGATATTGACAGTATGTTTATATTAAAAATTTAAAGATTCTCCATGTGGGGCAGGTACTGGAAAAGAAGAATATAAATTTGCATATTTTGTTAACCCTGATAGTGAAGAATTCTTATATAGAACATTGTGTCTTAAGGAATGTCCTTAAGTAGAAAATAAAATGGCTGAAGCTGATGGTAATGAAATTGAATATTATATTTAGATTCTATTGTATTAGATTGTCATCCAAATATAGAAATTGCATCATGTGATGTTCGTATTCAACCTGATCATCCTGAATATAATGTTCTATATTATGATACAATTCCTTTTATTAATGTTTGTGCACCAACTGAAAAATCACGATTATAAAATGTGATGAAAGCTCTTTAAAAGCCCTTCACTGTAAGAGTATTATCAGACTTTTATAATTCAAAATTAATTTTTATTGGATTAGCATTATTAGCACTTGGATTAAAGTATATATAGTTTTAATATATATTTATAGTTTTCTAATTATCTATAAAATAGATGATTATCCACGTCTTGTAATTTGGATAATAGTAATAATAGCAATTTTAGGATTTTTTGGAAATGGTGTTTTAGGATTATTATATGCTAAAAATTTATAAATTCATGGACAGATAGAATAAGAAAATAAATTATCAAAAGAATAAGTTATTGGTTATTTGCATTCAAATTATGTTAATTCAAATACTATATTTATAATTAGCATTATTTTTATGTTGTTTGGTTTGATAGTTTTTATTTTTACTATTATTTGGAGAAAGAATATAACTACAGTTGGATAAAAGGCTGAAATTATGAATAATTACTATTTAATTTCACAACCAGATTAAGATGTGAATTATTTAGAATCTTTATTAAAAGTTTTTTTAGGTTTAACTGTTTTATTGGCAGTTTTCTTTATGTTTATATTGATGGCTCTATTTTATTTATTTACAACTAGTTAACCTAAAAATGAATAACATTAATTAGCTTTTGAATCATTTTAGATTGATATTATTGAAATTATATTCTTTACAATTATAGCTATAGAATTAGTATTAGTTCCATTTCTTGTAATTGGATTTAGTAAATTGTTAGTAATTAATATTATTATTGAAATATATAAACAATAAATTTTAGAAGTAGATGAGTAATTTTTAAATGATAAAAATTTAACTCTTAAATAAAGATCTTTATAAGATTGTATAGGGAAAACTGTTAGATATCATTTTGGTGAATTGATGTGGGGTATGTTTAGATTGTACTTTGCTTTTTGTTCTAAACCAATATTTTTGAGTGGATTTAGATCCTTTATATCTGTATGTTTGACATAAAAAGGTTTTTTGTAATCAGCATAAAATTAATTGGATTATGATTAATAATTATAAAACAAAAATAGAAAACACTATTAAGGATTAGATTATTAATTAATCATAAGTTTTGGTGTTTCTAATACTTGTATTTTAGTATATATGGTATTATTACTTTATTCACCTGTTTGTCTAGCAATACATACTCCTCCAAATTAAATTTTGGCAATTTACCTCTTTACTTTTATGGTAACACCATCTTTTAATTTTCTAGATATCTTATTTGTTTTCGACACTCTATGGTATGGGCATGGATACACTTAATTTTCTGCTTTACAAGGATTTAAATAATGAGCCTAATAATTATATTGGATCTAGTGTCTAAGCTTAATTTAGAATGATAGCACTTCCTTAGATATCTATGCCAGCTTAAGAAGTAGAAGAATTTTTAAATAATGAAATTGATAAATTTTAAGGATTTTAAGAAAATTTAAATTGATTTAATCTGAAAATTTATTATTATAAAAATTAACTTATGATTAAATTTTTGGAATATACAATTATTATATTTCATTCAATTAAATCAAATAAATGAAAACATTCTAAATTTTGTTAACTTTCATTATTGAATTACTCTAACTTATTTAAATATTGGATCTAAAATTTATATTTTTTTTTATTCATCAATAATTTTAATAGTATTCTCAAAATAAAATTCTATTCTAGATTTAACATTATTGGCCTTTTTAGTTTTAAAATTAAAGCATTCTCATTTTTTATTCATTTTCTTTAATATTTTAAAAATAGAAATCAACATAGACATGTAATCAATATTGATACATAACTTTAATATTATATTATCATTTTTTAAAGAGAATTATTATAAAATTAAATGAAGATACAACTTTTTGTACCTTCAATTATTTTAATAAGTGGAAATGAATGTATTTTAAAAGATAATCTTGCAAAGACTTAAATACTAAAAAATAATGTAATAATACAGACAATAAGGCTTTATAATGTTACTGGAACAACTCTTGTTTCAATAATATATAGTAATCTTGTTATTTATTCTTGACTGAATCAGAGTGTTAAGAGAGTAGTGAATATTTATGCTATTGGTAAATGGATAATATTTGAAAAACAAAAAGTATTATTATTCTTAAAAAGTTGAACTGAAAATAATATATGTGAAAATATTGATAATTATATTGATTGTAGTAATAAAGAGAGAAGATAAGAATAATTTTGTACATGAAAGCATGGACGTCGTTATACTATTTAGAAATTTTCTAAAATAACAGACTTTAAATAATGCTGAAATACTCATATTAGAGAGATGTATACAAATTGATAATTAATTAAAGATGTTAATAAGTGATTAATAATGTAGCCTCTAGTCAAGAGAAAGAATATATATATATACCAGATATTTTTGATTATAATAATTGCAGAGAAGAAGATTGTTTATTTACAATATATACTTCTTGTCCTGAATTTATTAATGGAAAAAGAGGTTTCTTAAATTCAAAATAATGTACATAATGTTCTTATTAAATAAATCCAAAGGATTGTATAGCCACAAAATAATGTACTTGATAAAGTTCTGAATGTTCAAACATTTTGTAATATTTTATATCCATATTATTTAAGGTGTTATTAAATCACAAGTAAAAGATTGTGTAATTAAATAAACTATTGTCAATATGATTTTACTACTTAAAGTTGCTAAATCAAAAATATAGATAAGACTAGTCATTGTTATAATTATAACATTAGTTCTGATCCTATTAAAACAAAATATAATAGTTTTTTTGGTTTATGAAATCTAATATTATATATTAAAATCATTAAAATTGCTATAAAACTTATTATTTAGTTAAAGTAGGAAATACAATTGAATCAGAAGTCTTTTATGCAGTATTTTGTCTTGTTGGAGTTAGAGCTTGACGATAAGTAATTATTTATTGATTTTGCTATAGTGGCTATAAATTTTATAATGATTTCTATTTATAATATTCGCATTCTTAATTTTTCTTCTCCAAAAGGTGTGTTAAAGCTTGAAGTTGATTGGCAAGTTCCAATAATTATTGATTCTAATTTTAATAATTGATTGGTTATTATTGTATTTAATTGGATAATTATGATATCTATAACTTATACTATTAAATTTACTAATTCTATTATTAAATCTATTATGATAATAAATTAAACTAATTTATTAATAAATAACTTTACTTAATTGATATAAGAATTTAAGTCTTTTTGTAATTATTAATTTTGATTTCTTAATTGAGAATCTTCTTTACTTTTTTCATCTAAAATTTTTCTAATTGCAAATAATTCATTTTCATATGATTATTTTTAATTTATTAATTAAGTTTCTAAATTACTTATACGTTCTATATGATGTTAATCTTTCATAGCCAATTCAGTTTCTTTTTATTTTTCTAATTATCTATACTTTTATTCCCAAATATTATCTGTGTTTTAAATAGGAGTAAAATAATTTTTTTATTATAATGTTAATATCTGTTATCTTAAATCCTGAACTAATTATTATAAATAAACTTTTTCTTGCATTTCTTCAATATTATTATTGCTTACACTTCTATAACTGTATTCTCGATTATTTTTTGGTGTGTATGAATTATATGAAGATTGAGGCTTTTAGCTTTATATTCTTGATGAATATTTAATTTCTTCAATTTCTTATTCATATTATTGCTTCTGTTATTTTATTTCACTTTTTAATTTATTAATTTCTTCTTGTTATTCGTTGTTAACTTTTTATAAGTTCTATTCTTATTCTTGCATTCTTTTTTCGATTTATTATATTGTATTCCATAAATCAGGTTTATTATTGTTGTAATTTTATTTATAATCCCTTATACTTGGTTTCAGATCAAGCATTTATTCTAATTATTCTCGATATTATTCAGATGAACTTTACAAGACGTCTTCAGTTAGAGTTTCATTATTTTATAATTGACTGATTGGATTTTACTATAATTTAGGACCTTTGTATGTTTGCTAAGAAGGTGGTGTAATTTTATACATAAAGAAATTACTAATTATATTTATATATCAAACAACCTCATAAGCCATTCCCATTCTTCTTAATTTGAGTCTCTAAAATTATAATCCTGATTCTTCTTCCTTCTTTAGAACCCATTGAAACATTCTAAACATAATATACAATATTCCAGCAACAAATGAAGCAAAATAAAGTTATTCTCTTGAGACTTCTAAATAAACTCCTTTTCTATGATAGGCTTCTACCTTTTCTTGATATTCTCTCATTTGTCTATCAGATATGGGAATTAATGGTGTATGTCTAAATTCTTCTACAGGTCTAAGTTTCAAGAATCTATGTGCATGCTCAGTTTCTATTGTACCAGGTATAGATATATTAAGTGCCCTATTCTCTCTTATTTCTTCCATATATTTATTATTATTCAATAAAGCATAGGGTATAGCATCTTCTTTTAATGTTTCTTTCATTTCATTTCTTACTTCATAAAAAGGTCTCACTGCATTTCCATATAAGCCTTCTTTAAATTGTTAAATTGCATTTTCGTACTCTTAATAAGAAGTATGTTCATTTAATTTAAGAATTTCAAACATCTTCATCGTCACTGTCTTAGGAGGTCTGCAAATTAATATTGACACAAATTCATTACTCCACTTTCTCCACTGTAAGATCCAAACCTACATTTTTAATAGGTAAACCATATTTTTATGGTAAATCTTATCTAGTAGGTTGTTTTGGTTCTTCTTTTGGAGTAATTTCTTATTGGGCCTTTTTTTGAATGATATCTAATAGTTCATTGATATTGGATTTCTCATACAAAGTGTCGATAGTAACTTGATTATCCAGATTCTATTGAACATTATTAGTAGTAGGCTCTTCCTCTTTAAAAAGTATTTTTGATATTTCATCTTGAGATAATTTAGTGGAATCTTTATAAATTCTTGATTAACTATCATGAATACTTTTGTGTAGCAAATCTCCATAATCTTCTATTTGTAAATAAGAGCATAATTAAATTATTAATAGAGATGAATTAGATATTGATAACAATTTTTATAGATAAATATAGATAAAATCCAAAATTATTCATAAACTATTTAATTATTAGTGCAATTGATGCATTTCACAAAGTTTTTTGAATCCCTTTAAATTAATTTCTTAATATGAATCTTCTTCAATTTAATTTAAAACAACTTCAATAGCCTACAAAGTTTCAAAGTCTAAATCATCTAAACTAAGATTATCTTTGCTTATATATCCATCCTTATCACTATCTAATTAATTAAAAATCCTTTAAATATTCAAATCAAATAAAGATTATTAACTTTATTAAGATTGAATTCTTGTTTCAGATTAGCTAAAAGAATTCTTACTATATAAACGTGATTGCATTTTCTATAAATCTTAAGCAATTTGAATATCTTCATATTCTTTCATTTCACTAACCTTCTTATAAGTAGAATCTTTATTTATATTTGGTTTAAAAGTGACTTAATTTTAAATTTAATTTTAGTATTCTTATCTAATAAATATAATATAATTAAATTACTTTTTTTTTTCAATTCTTTTTTATTTTTCTTCATGTTCTTTTACTAATTTATCTACTAATATCTTTTAATAGGTTGAAGTATGTTTAATTTCATTATTTTAAGAATTAGGATGGAATGGATGAATTTTCTAAAATTCTCTATTTTAAAATTCTTCTTTTTTTTTCTTATCTTCCTTAGCTTAAAAATATAATTTATCATGAATTGGAGTATTTGATCTATTTTGAGAATGATTTCTACTTGTATCCGTAATTCTAGGTTAAAAAGGAGATTATTTTCTTTCCTATTCTTATATTTACATACGATGTTTTTCTTTCTTTAAATTTAAATCTAAACCCTTTTAATATAATTGATTTCCAATATTATTAATAGAACAATCAGGTTTACTTAATTTCTTTTACTCTACAATTTATCTTGATCTAGGAGATATTAAAGGTTAAAATGTAGCTTATTATTATTCCAATTAAGATTTTTAGAGTTTATACTATTCAGCCTTTTCCATTTTGTTTTTTTGTCTATCCAAACCATCTCTATATAGTCTTTCATTTGTTGATACTTTTTTATTATCGTTGAAAGCTAAAATAAATTTAAAATTATATACATCTAGCTGAACTAGGAACATTCCATTATACTGTATTTTAATTTACAGTCTTTATTTATTTGAGATCTGTTTTTTTATTTATGATTTATTACCATTTTTCATAACTTTTTTAAGCTGAATTTTAATTTTCATCAATACTACTAGCTTATGTAGTAATGCCATAGTCACTTTGTTAACTTGGACTAGTATATAGTAATTGATGAGAAATATTATTCTAACCAAAGCTTTCTCCAAATCTAGGAGAAGATTCTCTTTTCAATTATTCATTAATTTGATTAACTAAATAGAGAACACAATCTTATCCCAAATAATGGTTTTAACAAAATACTCTAACAATGTGTTCTACATCTTCACCTTCATAAACTCTTATTTCTTCATCTCGATCATTCATTTATAGACTAACTATAGCAATTGGTTGAGGTTCTGTTTTAATTGAATACATAATAATTATACAAATTATTAATATAATTTGTTGTATGAATTTCTAATTAATATTTGATTATTTCAAATTAGTTCTTCATATCAATAATAAATAAACCTTTTATTAAATAGTAAAATAATAGTCAACATTAACTAATATTTTATTATACCTATTTAAAATTTGAATATTATAAGTATATATTAAATAAATAATAAAAAACATATAATGAAATAAACTCAACAACAACCATCACTACTTTTTTTAGATTAAGTCTTTGTTGTTTTAGGTTCTGACAACACTACATGTTCTGATTCCACTTAAACTACTTTCTTTACTATTTTAGATCCAATTGTATTAAAAATATCTTTTGATATTTAAACAATGCTATACTTGATACAATCTTATTGAATGCAACATCTATATTAGTCCCATCTAATGCTGAAGTTTCTATGAATCCAATTTTTTATTATTCACAAAAGTTTGATGCTTCATCTGTTCTTACAGTCTATATAAAAATTAAAGTTTACTCTTTAATCAACTGCATCTATTTTATTTCCAATCATTATAATTACAATATTCCCATCTGCATGTTCCTTTAACTCTGTTAACCATTTTTCTGTATTTCTGAATGTGACATCTCTTGTTACATCATAACAAATAAATGCTCCTACAGCTCCTCTATAATATGCATTTGTAATGGCTCTATATCTAAAATATTGTTTTTCACATTTTCTAACCTCTCTTATCCTGCAGTATCCCAAATTTAACATTTAACAGATTTTCCTGATTGTTATATTGTCTTCGTTGCAAATTCAACTCCAATTGTTGGCTTCGATTCAAGTTGGAATTCATTATTTATGAATTTCTTTAGAATATTTGTTTTTCCTACTCCTGAATCTCCTAAAATCTTTAATCATGAAACTCACCAATCAAAACAATTTTAAATAAGAAATCATATTCTTCATCATTTGTTCTCGTCATTAATAATTAAATTTA